AAGATGGAGGAAGGAGGGGAACGAATGGGATGGAGGGTGGGAGAGGGGAAGAAGAAGAGGAAAGGCGTAAACACAGAAAACCAGAGCAAAACGAAAGAGCATTACAGAGAGACACAAAATAAGTAAAAAAAAAAACGAAACAGTAAGTGGAACGAAGAGATAGAAAAGCACAAAGCAAGACGAAAGACAAACAAACAATACGAAAGAGGGAGATAGATTTTTTTCTCCAAATCTCTAAATAAAAGGACGAAAACCAACTCGGAGACACTTCCTCTACTCCTCTCCTCCTCTCCTCCTCTCCTCCTCCTCTCTCCTCCTCTACTCCTCTCCTCCTCTCCCTCCTCCTCACCGTATCGAGGGCATGAGCGCCGTCCACCCTCGCACATCAAGGACGCAACCCCGGGTAACTCCTCCTCCTCCCAGCACTCGCAAGGCGCGATAAGGTCAGCAGAAGGGCAAGGGTCAGCGCGGGGACGAGCCTCTTGACCCGAGGGCGTCTGGTGCCACGGGAAGGTGCCACACAGCGCGAATGACAGTGCCAATATGATCACCTCGACCTGCATTGTCATCTGTGGGATCCGGAAATGTGATGATGTCTGATAGGTTTATGGAAGCGCATGCGCGGATGTCATATGCTCATATATATATATATATATATATATATATATATATATATATATATATATATATATATATATACTGTGTGTGTGTGTGTGTGTGTGTGTGTGTGTGTGTGGTGTGTGTGTGTGTTGTGTGTGTGTGTGTGTGTGTGTGTGTGTGTGTGTTGTATATATGTATATATATAATATATATATATATATATATATATATATATATATATATATATATATATATATATATATATAATATATATGTATATATTATATATATATATATATAGTATATATATACTATATATATATATATATATATATATATATATATATATATATGTATATATATATATATATATATATATATATATATATATATATATATATAANCCCCTCTTCTTAGGTGAACAAAAATGGAATGAGTAGTTTTTTTTTTCTTTTTTCTTTTTTTCTTTTTTTTCTTTATCTCCGAATGTAAAAAACTTATAAGGAAATACCCTTTCATGAGCTATCGTGTTAATAGGATGAAATATGAACCCAATTTTTGGTCTTTTACTGCCTCTGACCTCCAAAATGGGCATCTTTTTTATATTAGTTTTTTAGATATTCTTATATCCTTTTTTATATTAGGTTTTGATTAGATTTGTATTATTTATTTCATATTAGTTTATATATATTTTTTTTTCTTATTTTATATTAGTTTTTTTATATTAGGTTTATATTAGGCATATTTTTGTATCTTAGGATTTTTTATAGTCTTATATCTTTTTTTATTTTGATTTTCCTTTTTTTTCTTTATCAAGAGGTATGTATAGGATATCAATTGAACTTTAAGATGGAGGAAAGAGAAAAAAATAAAGTTGTCTTGATGAATGCTGATCAAAATTGCACGACATATTTTGTGCAGAATATCAAATTGCATATATTCATTTCAGCGCTTTGGATTCTAGTTCTATTTATCAGAAAGTTAACTTTTTATATGTATATGTATTTTTTTCTTCTTCTTTCTTTTTTCTTTCTTTTTCTTTTCTTTTCTTTCTTTTCTTTCTTTCTTTTTTCTTTTTTTCTTTTCTTTTTTCTTTTCTTTTCTTTCCTTCCTTCCTTCGTTCTTTCATTCCTTCCTTCTTTCTTTCTCTTCTTTCTTTCTTTTGAGGGTGGCAATGTATCTTAAATCGAAGAAATTGAAAAGAAGAAAAATCCTTGATAATCTTAGAACCTTGGTAAGCCATAAATATTATGACGATTTTTTTATGTCATTTTTGAGCCTCTTTCATAAACCTTTACCGTGAAGAAGAAATATCTGGATGAGCAGTAAAGGCAAAATTAATTCATGAGAGAGAAAAGAAAATAGAGAAGACATAGATAGATATAATAGGATAATCAAGGAAGAATAAAAGAAGAGAAAAAAATAGAGTAGACGTAGTTAGAGAAAATAAGATAAATCTAGGAAGGAGAAAAGAGAAGAGAAAAGAAAATGGAGAAGACGTAGATAGTGACAATGAGATAAAGCAAAGAAGATTCATAATAATGAATAAAAGAGGAGAAAAAGAAAATAGACAAGAAGTGTATAGAGATAATGGGATAATCAAGACAAAAATGATTAATAGGAACGATAAAAAGATGTAGAAGACGTAGATAGAAATAATAGGATAAGCTTGGAAGAACTCAATCATGAGAATATTAAGAAAGAAGAATGCAAGAAGAGAAAAGAAAATGGAGATGGCGTAGATAGAGATAACGAGACACCGGCAGACGAAGGCGGAGAAGCGAATAGGAGGAGAGATAAGGAAGATAAGAGATGTCTCCTTTTCTTGTAAGATGCCTTCAGGACACACACGCCGCTAGGATGAGGGGCGGGAGGGGTGGGGGGCGTGTCTTAAGATGTA